TGGGCCGGGTGGGAGAATGGGTTTGGGTTTGGGGGAGTTGGGCTGGATGTGGGATAATATGGGTTGGGTGAATATGGGTTAGGTGGATATGGGCTGTGGTGAAAGTGGGCTTGGGCTAGGGGGTGGGGCGTGTAGGGCCGAGGCCCAAGTAACCCGGGGGACGGGGAGGGGAATGTCCAGGGATTTGGGCCCGAGGGTTGCCGCTGGTTGCTGCCGCCGCCACGACCTCGACCGCCTCCGCGACCTCTGCCGCGGTTGCCGCCTCCACTGCCACTGCCGAAGTTCCTGCCGCGTCCGCCGGAGCCGCCGCCAAAGCCGCCGCTACCACTGCTCCCAGAACCGCCGTAGCCGCTGCCTCGGTCCTGCCGGTGTCCGCTGCCCGCATAATTGCCGCCGCCGGCGGTGCTGAGTAGGGCTGTGGACGGTGCGCCGGCGGCATAGACAACGTCGTTTTGCTGCTGTTCAACGAGGAGTAACGCGGACCGAACCTCCAAGAACGTCGGGAGTGGATTTTGATATTGAAGGAATTGAACTTGACCTCGAATGTCGTGAGGGAGACCTTGAAGAACTTGGAGGATGAGGGCATGTTCGGTGACAGGAGCATCCACATCATCAAGATACTCGGAGAGGTTCTTGAGAAGGCGACAATATTCGTCGATGGAGAGTTGCCCCTTCACAGTTGTACGGAAACGATGCTCCAGTTGCATCGCCCGGGCATGCTTATTGTCGTGAAAAAGATTGTAGATTGCCTTCCATAGGGCATGAGCAGAGAGATTGTTGGCAAGCACAAGATCGGAGACTTCATCAGTGATTGTGGACAGGATCCATCCCTGAATTAAGGCATCAAATTGATACCATTCAGCATCGTCTGCGGAGGAGGCTATGGTCGTGCCGTCAATGAAACCCTTGAGATTGAAGCGGAGGATCAAGAGACGAAATAATCGACTCCACTTTTTATAATTTGGTTCTGAGAGACTGAGTTGAACCGGGATATGAAGTTTGATTTTGGAGATGGTGGTGAAGGCAAGATGAGGAGAATTATTTGGAGAAGAGGTTTCGTTGTTGTTGGTGACTTTGCCAGATGAGGCGGAGTCGGCCACGGTTGCCGGGGGAAGAAGAATCCGACGAGGGAGGGGGGTTGGGGGCTTGGCCGAAACTCAAGAAGGAGAAGGGGAAGGGAAGCCGTGAAAGATTAGGGCTCCGATACCATGAAGAATGAATATTTTCTATTGAATTCTTATGAGAGATTACATGTGTATATATACAAGAGTTTCCTAATGACAATAGAAAACAATAATTAATACACCATATACAAATATGGTAGCTACAATTAACATTAATATTAAATATAGTAAGGATATATTTAACACATAGAATGAAGAAATGATTAAAAATAGTAATAATGTAAATGCACATTATTAAGAGACATACCAACTGTGATGCATCAATTAATGTTTACTATTTTTCAATGTAAAATTCAAGGCAATAGTTTTGAAGTTAACCTATGTAACTTTATTCAAGTTTAAAAAAATAGTAATACAAGCAATTAAACACACCATGAGAAGAATGCTTCCTAATATAATCTCAATATACCTATAAAAATTATTAACAATTAAATCACTTACGAGGATGATATGCCTATATCATACTGTATGTGGCATCATTGAATAGAGAGGAAAGCTTCAAAGTATAACCTCGATATTGCGTTAGAAACTCCTTCCTGTTAGCGGGTTGTATAAATTTTTCAAGCAAAGAAAACATTCCACAGTTTGCTTAAAATTCGAATTACTAAAGAAAAGTGGGTGGAGAGTAGCAATAAATGCATGAATAGGATCGATGATATTCTCTTTCCTTCTATCATCAAATAATGTCAACATTTTCTCATATTTCTCTCTAGTTTTTACAACCCTTTGCTTGAGCTCATCCTTGGCCAACTCCATTGCTTGGTATAAATACCCAGAAGTAGAACCTTCACCATCAACTAAGCGAAGAATCCGAACTAGTGGTTCTAAAGCATGTATCAACTATTTTGCTTCAGACCAAAAGACATCATTTTGGATTACTCCAGTCACACTAATAGCCTCTCGCGTCTTGGAATAAGACAAATCTCCCCATTCTGGAGATGCCACAAACAATCGTAGTTCATTATCAAGACCAACCGAAGATTGCACAGCAAGATAATTAGAAGCGAATCTAATCGCACATGGCTTTTTCAATTCGCGTCCATTTGTAACTTTTCTCATCAAAGCAGTAATAATAGTATGTCAATACATATATGCCTGAATAGATTTAGCATTATCAACAACACTTTTAATCCAAGGAATTTGGTCATATATATCTTTGAAAAGATACTGAATTCCATGTGTTGCACACCTCTTGTACCAAATAGAAGTATACTTTTGCACAATCATATTCTCATCTGAAACAAAGTTTGAACCATTATCAGTGATTATTTGAACAACATGTTGACGTCCTACCATATCAATGACTTTTAAGGACAAATGACTTAAAAATAGTCCACTTTTCTTATCTTCAGAAATCTCAACTGATTTTAGAAAAACATAACGTTTAGGACATGATGCAATAAAATTAATAAAGCATCTTCCTTTAAGATCAGTCCAAGTATCAGACATGATGGAACAACCTGAAACATCCCATGATTTCTTTACTTCATCAACATATTCATCAACTCTTTTTTTTTGCTCTTGGAATAAGTTTGGTCCGTAGTGTTGAATAGCTTGGCAATTTATAGGCTGGTCCATACTCTGCAATTCCTTTAACAAGATTGATGAAAGACTTTTGTTGCAAAACATTGAATGCAATATTATTTTGAATGAAAAATGTGGCAAGCAAGTCATCTATATTGCTCTTGTCCATTTTTTTACCATTTCAGGCATGGTAGTTTGATACAATGAAGGATGAGAAGACATAGTAGAACCACCCACTCTAAAGTTTGTTGTGCTAGATTCAACTCTAAGCCTTTTAGAGGTTTGTGTAATTGCTTCACACACCTGAGTTTCTATTTCTTTTAAAACTTGTGTGCATATCTCAATTTCATTACCCCTTAATCGTGACAATTGAAACTTCAATCTTGTTAAGCCTCAAGAAAATACTCGTTTCATATCAATAGCATGTACCCAAAGTGGATCCTTCTTTCTAACCACGACTCTACAAAAAATAAACCAAATTAGTTTAGCACTCAAGCAAAGAGCAATGACCAATTGACCACTTAATCATAAAGTTATGAATAAAAATGTAACAGAGTTTGGTTTATTTTGAGTTTTTTGTGCTGCTGCTAGTTTTCTAGAAAATATGGATCAAATAAAGTGGAGATAAGAAATAATCAAAATGGCAAAGATGATAAAAATCCAATATAAAAGAATCTGTAGAAAAGGATCTGTAGTGTGTCCCTCTTTATAGTGGGTTAAGTTTTTTACCTTTGAAGGCTATTTTAAAGCTTTTGGGCATCAATCCCTGCACTTAAAATCCTAATCTACCCTTTTCATTGTTTTTGGCCTTTTTAGACAATGAACAGTAGTCATCTCTCATCATCACCCTTTAGTCCCCTACAGACACAATCCTGAGCAGTACTCCATTACTACTACAACTTATTAGGGATGAAGCAATCACTTGAGTAATTGAATTTGAACTATGAAATCATCCAAATGCTGAGTGCAGAATGCAATTTGAAACTATACGATAGAGATTTGAGAGTTGAGACTTGAAAGTTCATACTCAAATCAAAAAAGAAATTAAATGATAAAAATTATGAAATTAGGTTTGGGAATTGGGACTTACCGCTAGTGGCTACGGCAGAGCACTGCCGTCGGGATTGCTGCTGTGCTGGGGTCCTGACTCCACCTACGAGGAACTGAAGGAGGACGATTGGACGAATTGATTGCTAATTTTCCAGAACTCCTGCAGCCGGAACTCTTGCAGCGGGAACTCCTGCAGCCGGAACTATTGCAGCGGGAACTCCTGCGGCCGATTCTCGATAGAGAGAGGGGACGAGGAATTGGATAGCGGAGGATTCTCTGGTCTATTTTGGGCCTTGGGAAATCGGAAAAGGTTGAAGTAGAGAATCGGAAAAAAAACGTGTATAATACGATTAGGCTTAAAATACGCGTATTTTAACGTATTTTATAAACTTGTACGTATACGCAAGTATAATATGCGTATTATACGTACGTAAGTATAATACGCGTATTAATGTGGAGTCCTTCCCTGTAAAAATCAAATTTTCAATTTCCTTACTAAATACGTAGTATTTACATTGTCATAAAAATTCTTTCCTCTACTAATAAAAAAACGGGCGGTTCATATGATTTTGCCCGTTAATGTCATGGAATGATCCAGGAGCGTTTTGGTGTTCTGTTTGTAAAATTAATAGTTACTAACATAGTTAGTTATATACGGCAAAAGTATAATACGGAAATACGTACGTACGTGTATAATACGTTAAAAATTTATAAAATACGTCTTATTATATGTTTCATACGTACAAAATACGTATACGCATACGTACGTGTATTAAACGTTTTCCTAAATATAAAATACGTCTTATAATATGCACATATTTATTCACAAAAAGAAAATAATAAAGTGAATAAAAAACAACAATCTTGCTTTAAATTAAATAAATCCAAAAAAAGTAAAGCACCTTCATACAATTTCCATGCTAAAAAAATAAAGTCTTAATCGAGCGAATGTTCGAAATGAAAAATAGTCCAGCATCATCCATACCATAAAGTATAAAGTATTCCACTAGCTAGAAAATTATTCTAAAATACCAAATTCAGCAAAAACATCATCATCATCATCATCATCATCATTGATATAAGTCTCACAAAAATCTGAAAGTCCAGCATCATCTATACCATTGTCAATGTTAGTTTCATCAATTGAATTCTCGTGAGCTTCATTGTTTTCATTACCATTTTGAATATGAGAGTATGACTCTATCTCTCCATAATCAGGCCATTCTGTCAACTTGCTCAAATCAATTGGATCGGAATCTTTAATCATGTTTTCCTCAATATTTTGCATCATGAGTGTGTTCATCCCTACAGTACACAAGAAGACCGAGCATGTCTGGAGTGAGTCGATTCCTTTTCTTTGTTTGAGCAGCATCAAAGGCACTCCAATTACGCTCACATGCAGATGAACTACAAGGCTGACTCAAAAGACGAATGAAATATTTTTGTAGTACTGGTTGAGAGTCACCACTAAATTCCCACCATACACCTTGTAATAAACATATAGTGAAGAATGAATATTTTCTATTGAATTCTTATGAGAGATTACATGTGTATATATACAAGTGTTTCCTAATGACAATAGGAAACAATAATTAATACACCCTATACAAATATGGTAGCTACAATATACATTAATATTAAATATAGTAAGGATATATTTAACATGCTCCCAACGGCGCCAACGAAGAATGTCGCACGCCTAGACAGTCTCGAAACTCGGAGAAGACCATGGAGGGTAGGCCCTTGGTGAAGATGTCTGCATACTGTAGGGAAGACGGCACATGAAGAACTCGTATCTGACCAAGGGCTACTCTGTCACGCACAAAGTGAATGTCAACCTCGATATGCTTCGTGCGCTGATGCTTGACTAGATTGGCAGAAAGGTAGACGGCACTGATATTATCGCAGAAGACTAGTGTAGAGCGTGTCAGAGGTTGTCGGAGTTCGAGAAGAAGATTGCGTATCCAACTAACTTCAGCTACGGCATTAGCAACAGCTCGATATTCAGCCTCAGCACTAGATCGAGAGGTGGTGAGTTGTCGCTTAGAGGACCA